TGAAAATCAGATGATGACAAGATCAAATATTTCAGCTTCTTGCTGCGTCCTCTGAGTTGTAAATGCAATCAAGGCTAAAAATCCCTTTTATTTATCTTCAACATTTCAGACAAGGTTTTTGCATGAAGATTTAATTGAACTATATTTTTTCTTCACAGCTATACAAAAGCTCCAGGCATGTCTCTTTGACTGTAATGCATGAAAATAATTTCTTGTTATTTTACATCTCGGCAAAAACAATTATATCTAATTATCTGATGATTTGTAAGTCTAAAGGGAAACTGAAGGATTCAGATATTTTTCCCTTTTTACCACAAAAATATACAACATAAACAAACAGCTATTACAACCACTGCTACCACTACTACCATTAATAATAATAATAACGTTTTGTTAAGCCTTACATGATGACATGTGCATGACCTTGCAGAGGGGTTGACATTGTTTTCATAAGGTAGAAATTATTTGTAATTGAAAAAAAAAAAACGGTGGCACAGTTGTGAGTTATGTCAGCATTTGGTCCAAAGCAAACAGTTACAATATTTTTCAATTCCCTCCAAACCTTGTTTGGTATTCATCTTTCGCTCCCTCTTCATCACTCTTTATGGTCCATTTATTGAAAGGAATATATCAGCATACATTTCTGATCCTGGACACAGCGTGCACATCTCCACACACAAAAAACAAACTATATGCTCTTGCTCTCATTCCTTTTCTCTCTCAAGGCCTTTTCAATCCTCACATGAGTCACTAACACACACATACCAGCTGGTTTAAACACACACACACACACACACATCCTCACATACAAACAAACTCTCTCAGTTTCTCCCTCTCAATCAAGCCCTGTCAGCAGCACTAGAGCCTGATATGAGGCCAGGGACAGAGGAAATGAACGATGTCAACCAGTGTTATAATTCAGCAGAACCGACCACATGAGGGGGAATACATCTACTGTATTTTGTGCTCATGGGAAATCAATCTCATCTCATAATACAATGGTTGCAGGCGTATGCTTGTGTCTTGAAGAGGTCTAGAGAAGGACTGTGGTTCGTGTTCAGTCTGTGTGTGTGTGTGTGTGTGTGTGTGTGTGTGTGTGTGTGTGTGTGTGTGTGTGAGTGTAATTCTGAATAATTCTTCCCTTTCTGAAACCCATGCTCTAACTTGTCTCTGGTGTTATTTTTCTTCACCTGACACACGGTGAAGAGCTGATGAAAGACCAAGACTAGATGGAGGCATCCAATTATGCTTGTTAAGACAGCCTTATACACAGGCACATACACACACACACACACACACACACACATTTTGTCATCCAAGTCAAGTAGTTCACAGCCCTAAATCAGAGAAGAATGCACGAATAAGATGATACAGAGTTAGAAGCATGCAAATCACCCACAGGCCTTTATTATAGTACTTGTAGGACAATGCACTGAAAAGCAATAATTTGCTAACCTCTGCATGTACCTGACAAATTAAGATCATTTACAAGCGTTGCTGGTTATCATTAAGTTATTTGTTGTGTTAGCACTGGATGATGTTTTCTCCAGTAATTTTAACTGACATCATGATGACAGACCTACAAAAATACAGTTGATAGAATACAGGATATAAAAGGCGTGAAAAAAGGAACCCTGCATCCATGTAAACTCTGGCCCCTTGGGACTGTGAAAATGTCACTTTGGCAAGATTTTCTCACCTTTGTAACCTTGTGAGCACATACACTCTCACTGTTACCCTCTACAACTCCACATAGAAGTGTTTTCTGTGCCAACATCCCAATCGACAGGACAACATAATTTGTCTGTGCCTTTCCAAAACTGTTAAAAATAGCAGCTCAAACATAATTCTGTATGATGTGACAACAATGTAGTTAAAGGAGACCTATTATGCTCATTTCCAGCATTATATTCTTAGTCTGAGTTTTCAGAGTAGCTTTGCATGATTCATAAAAACATCTATCTTATACTGGCCCTTCATGCAGCCCCTGAGTACATCCTTTCTGTCTGAAACAGAGGGCCGAGGGCACAAGGAGAGTTTTGGTGTTTACATCTCTAGTATCTTTACAGGAGCTTTGGAATCGCTTGGAGCGCCAGTGCCTCGAGTTAGCTAATAGGAACATTAGCTAACTGCATTAAAGTCCGTAAATCCCTGAGAGTTGAAGCAGGACATCAGAGGGTAAACCAGAACATATAGAACTTAGAAAGCACTTTTTTGCAAGACTGAAATGAGTTACTCCTGACTCCACTTTTAGCCTTGGTTTTATGGTCAAGAAAAACATTGTGTGAGCCTCTTGGCTATGATGAAAGTTATTAGCACTTACCCAAATGGATCAACTACCCAAAACAATAAACTGAAATTGACTGGAAGCTGCGATGAAGCACAGTGTGGTGTGTTGATCCTCAGTGGGATCGGTTGTGAGTCTTTGACATCACAGGCAGTCAGTGGATTTAAAGTTTGAATGATATCAAGAAGCAGAGATTTCAAATGATATACAGTGAGACTGAGAGTTAAAGGATAGGTTCACATTTATTCAAGTCAATATTATAACAATACTTACAGGCCAGTTTTTACATTGAAAACATGTAGCTGCAGTGGAAGTACTTTACAACTTACATACAAATACATATTTGCACAGAACGACGCTCCTACTGTTTAGTAGCTTTGTTCCTGTGTGAGTGTGTTTATCCTTACGTGAGAGAAAGTGAGCATCGATATGTGCCTGCATGCAATTGCACATGTAGCTGCTATTTAGTGATACAGTCTGTGAGAAAAAAGCTGATATTGTTTGCTTTGGCACTCAACCTAAATACACAGAGAATTAGCAGCAGTGTCATGAAGTTGGGCTGTAACTGCAAACTCGTGAACATACAATCAGCTTTATGGACTGTTTTTACTGTCTTAATTAGAAGCTAATAACACCTCCTTTCTGTTGCCAAAACAAACCATTTTTCCGTAAAAGGGTTGGGTACGGTGTCTGACTCATGCCATCCCACCTCTCTTCTGTTTGCAGTGTCTTGTTTCACGCTGTTGGTATTTTTGCTTTCAGAAATGTCTGTTGTATGAAACTCGAATGTTAATATCCAGCGTTCTCTAACTTGCACTGTAAGGTGAGTTAGTGTGAATTCAAAATTTTGATATAGAAAAGCTTATTCTCCAGAGATTTTGTTCTCCAGGTAATAGCAGTATAACAACTAAGAGCACTGAATCTGGATTTCCTTCTTGGTTTTTACTCCACTAGGTTCCTAGATTACCAGCATTTGTCTTTTAGAAGGCATACATTAATTCCCCCGGTTACCCTCCAGCTTTGTAGAAATACACTTTCATCTCTCTCTTTCTTTGACTTCATCATTAAATGCTGCAGAGCCTGACCTAAAAAATAACCCAGCAGTCAAACATGAAAACAATCACAATTGACAAAGCACCTTGTACTAAAGGCTTAGTCCTGTAATAGCACTCTAACGGGCTCATTTTCCACACGCGTAAATTCGCTAATTTGTCAACCAAACAAGATGACCCAAGTCAACGCTATGGGAGCTGCTACCTATAGCTCCACATCCATATGTCCTACACAGAGTAACATACTCTTACTTTGTCAGATGCTATTATCAGTTCTCTTCTGACTTCTTACAGCGCTGTTGTATTTTGAACCTGTATTAATTGGCCACTGATATGGGGCTCATGGTCAGCACAAGAATCTATCTTTGCAAGAGGGATAGCGAGGGTGTTTCAGGTCAGTACAGGACTACATTATTCAGAGCTCTGTTTGAGGGATATGCCAGTCTGAAATACATAAATTGGGTGTTTGGATGCAAATGCTTGCATTAATAAAAGGCAGCATTGCACCCACTGTATCAATAGAGCAGCTTAATTCGAATTGATTAGTGCTAAAGTGGTTTCTTCTAATAGTTAGAAACGGTAACTCTAGTTCTGTGATTAGAAGAAAAGGCCTGTAAAGGTTGGACTATGCTTGCCCACGTCTGGGGGCAAAGTGTTTACAGCTGTTCTCAATGGTCACAGTCAAAGAAGAAGGGAAACCCTGCCATCAGGGGTGAGATGCAATAATCGTTATAATAGATAACACTTTCAATCTTTTAAACATGTTGCACTCGTTTGTACAGACAAAAAATTACAGAATTAAAAAGAAAAAGGAAATCAAGAGGACTTTCAAATCCTGTATACCTTTTAACCTCCACACACCTGACCAAGAAGGAAGTGGGCACTTTACGAATTATTGGTTTCAGTTCTAATTCTGACTTTGGAAAAGAGAGCGGGAAGGGTGTTTCAGACACTACTCAACCATCCGACAAGCACATTGTTCTAAGCATATTGATCCATTAACTCTACGCCTATGTGAAATACAAAATCAATATCAGCAAATGTTCACCTTCTGTTCACTCTTATGCAAGCAAATAAAACCTTCGCATTCACATCCCTGTTCCACGTGGAACCAGTAGCAAATATGTTTGTGTGGTTGAGCCCCAAAACAGACTACAAATCAGCAAACTCATCTGTGGCACATCCTGCACTGCCCACATTTTGTCTTTTTGATGTTTTTTGTGGGTTTTGCGGGCCATCATAGTTTCTCCTACACATTTCACAACCCAGGTTGTCAAACACAGACAAAGGCGGTGTTGAGTTAGTAGCTATCTGCAGTTTCACTGCTAGATGCCACTAAATCCTACACACTGGTCCTTTCAGCTGATGGTTATGTAGCAACAAATTTAACTGTGTTGAGATTTCTCAAGCATTGAGGGCTCTGATCTAAGAACTAATTTAACTGATTAAAACATAAGTGAGGTCTCTCTCTCCTTCTCTCAGATGTGTATTGTGATTAATAATCATAGCTTGTGATCTCATCTCCTCAATCTCTGCTAATAACAGTTTTTTATCTGTTAGCATGGCTGGCACATGTGCTGAAATGTCTCTCCATCATTGTTTAGAAAAGATAAAGCAACTGGACTCAGTCATGTAACTCCCTCCTCTCTCTGCTCTCTCAGGACCATCTTCAGTGATCAGCAACGACGATGACTCGGCCTCTCCTCTTCACCACGTCTCCAACGGCAGCAACACCCCTTCCTCTTCAGAGATGGGCCCTGATGCGGTAATCATCGGCATGACCAAGATCCCAGTGATAGAAAACCCTCAGTACTTCAGGAGCACAAACAGCCTCCTGAAGACGGACACGTGTAAGTAAAAATCTTATACTTTTTAATGTGTTCCCAAATTAACTCAAAAGTTTAAAATGTTAGTGAATCCATTATGAGCTATACTTTCAAATATTCAAGTTAACTGCACTTGGGTGATACATGGGGGTTACCATGGCAACATTTTTCCTGCTGTCATGGCAATGACCTTGGAGCTGCAGAGGATAAGCTGTCAATTCTGAGGGAGAAGTGGGAAATAGAAAGTCAATTTATATGCCCCGGCATATGTTAGGCACATATCCGTTCATACAGTTTGAGACTTCCATGTGTGACTCATACACATACATTACCAGAGGTGAAGGCAGCACAACATACAAGAGTCTGTTAGCCACAACAGGTAGAAGTATTTTTCTGAGTGTGACCAGCACTAATTTATCCAACTGCACCACATGTATACAGAACAGATTCAACAAAGCAACAGACAGAAGGGCAAAGTGGTCAAAGAAAGTGGGAAGGAGAACGAGACAAACAGAAATAGAAGAGAAACATGAGGAGAACAGAAGGAAACAGAGAGACAGCAACAGTCAAATAGACAGACAGAGAGCACACAAGGATATTGACCTGGTCCATCAACATGACATTATGATTATTGGCAAGTAATAAAAGCTTCTCCAGCCTTCGGCCTTGTGTTGCAGTAAATTATGGAACCACATGCATATGTGTGTGTGTGTGTGTGTGTGTGTGTGTGTGTGTGTGTGTGTGTGTGTGTGAGCACCATCAGGCTCCCTTTGTTGAAGACAAGGTTGAGGATGTATAATGATGGGGGATTGGGGCTTGACCTCTTCAGCCCCGCGATATAACTAAAAGATAGACTGGGATTTACAGCCTAAAGACAAGAATGAAAGCGCTGAGGATCGATAAAAGTCAATAACGTACTGTTGTGTATGTGTATATGCCTGTGTGTGTGTTTTTAATATATTACAGCCATTACAACTATTACTCTGTGCGCTTCTTTGACTCTCAGACAGGGAGCATAAATACTGAAAGTATCTGACCGATTATTTGGCACTCTGCCTTTTCAGACCCGTACAATAGCCTTTGATGGAGACAGTTTGGCAAAGTGGCTCTAGGTTGTATGCCAAGAACTGAACTCTTTTTAAACAGTGGCCTTAACCAGCTTGTGCCCTGTAATACTGAATACAAGAATCAGTGGTGGGTACACGTTTTTTCTTAAAAGAGGGCACAGGCCTCTTCTTGGCAGCAATAAAGCAACAATTACTCTGCAGAGATGATGGATCCGTGTGTAATTACGGGAACTGTTAGCTGTGTTGCACAGCTTCAGTTGTTGCAGCTTAGATCTGAAGTGAGCACCTCATTAACAATAATAACGTCAAAGGAGTTTGCATTGTTGGAAAGTATGTCACATACATTATTAAAGAGTTACAGTAAAACAACCCTGGACCTGCAGAGGTGGTAACTACTGTGTTTGTGTTTCCCTAATCCTACAGTACGTAGAGACTGTTAGCGATACTAGCAGCAATAATGTGGATTTTAGAAATACTGAGGTCATGAATCCAATTTCTACTAACCAAGCACTGGCTCTAGACTGGCACTAAATCCTGGACACACAACAATCTAAACATATGATGATCTTATAGAATATGATGCACATATAAACTACCCAACAATATATATATAAACTATATTAGGTTTTAAAATAAAAAGTGGTAAAACGTTGAGACAAAATACAGCAGTAGTCGCTACAGCCCTGAACTGAGGGAGAGACTTTTCTTCCTTATGTTACACCTTCCTCTTGGCTTATTGTAGAGTGTCTCTCAATTTTTCCACCGTTTCCATCTCAGCAGATCTTTTGGGGTTTTTATTTTGTTGTATCTAGGCAATGAGGATTAACATTGCTCTGGAAAATGTTGTTCATAAGTCAACACGTTAGTACAGTATTTGAAAACACCCATTTACACACACACACACACACACACACACACACACACACACACACACACACACACACACACACCTAAGCTTGTGAAAATTTAGGTCACAATTAGTTACACCTCCTGATAGAAGGGCACGTAGTTGAGTGGTGACTGACTAGAAGGAAGTAGAAAAGAAAAGGCATGATGACATTAATTGCATGAGGAATTTGATGGAGAAGGATCTGTTTTTAAAGCATCTGTCAAACATGATTGTGGCTTTGACCTATCATTTCTAATGGGTTTAAGCTGTTTTATGTCAGCATTCAGGGTCCTGGAAAGATTTTGGGCAGATGAGAGACGGAGGAATGGCAGAAGAGGCAGATGGCAAACTGGGAATAATTATGTCCCGCAACATTAATTTCTTTGGTTGTTTATAAGATGCTGATTGAGGAGGATCGGTGTGAGAGGTGGCTGTAAAGGGAGAATGTGGAGACAATCAGAGAAGGGAGGAAAAGGACAGATAGAAAAAGATGGGAGAGAGAAGGTGGTTGATGGGAAATATTATTCCTCTTGATGGTAATGTTGTAAGTGCTGTCATAAACAAGTGATAGAAAAAGACTGATGGAGCAACAGAATGGGAGAAAACATGTGCCTGTGTTAATGTTTAGAGGATGTTGATTAAAAAGTGATAGGTTTAGCAGCTGAGGGGAATGGCAATAGGGAGAAATAAATGATGGAACAGAGGGGCGCTAAAAAAGGAAAGTGAGAGTAAGATAATGAGACTGGATGGAGCGATGCTAAATGAGGGAAAATGAGCGAGTACGATAAGCAGGAAAAACGGGTACTAATTAAGAAAAACATCAGAGAATAAGAGTGCAAAGTTTGGTAAATGGGGAATAATATTTCTGTAGATCTTAATTAAGCATACTGATTGAGGAGAAGAGGGGTGATGTGTAGCACACAGAGATACAGTTTAATATTGAAAGCAGGGTGGAAAAAGGAGTGTAAAATTGGCAAAGGCAGACAGCTGGAAAGCAGAATTCATGAGCAATATAAGGCCATAAAAAATAAAATAACTTAATTTTGAAAGTTCTTGATTGCTATGCGCAGCAATTATGGAAAATTCTTGACTGTATAAATGCAAAATTTGTTGCAACTACAGATTATAAATCTAGCAATAAAGATACATTTTAAAATACAGCAGAGAAGAATGAGAGAACAACACCCAATCTTCCTGCCAAAGGGTAAAAAAAGCAGTAGGGGAAGGATTGCTCTGCACACATCAATTTATTTGCTATTTGAGGGTGTTAATTAAGGAGAAGTGGTGCGAGGCGTTTTCATGGGTGAACGCTTATTACACAACTGCAGTAGGAAATGGTGCGGTGAGGTTATTAGCTGGTTAAATGGTGGGTAGTTGTCTTGTGGGGATGTGGGTTTATTGTGTGCTGACGCTGCATGGGGAGTTGTGAGTGCACTGAGATCTGTGACCCACTACTGCTGTTTTTGAACTGAAGACAATCGTGTCATAACGAAGAGATAATAGATACTAGATATAAACACTGACTTTTAGCCACAGTGATTTCTCTGCATACTCAAACCTGTCTCCTTTAAACAAGTTTATATGGTACTAAGTTGCAACAACAAAAAGAAATGCCAAATCTTAAACTGTTCATATTGTTTAGTGGAAACATATTTCCCATGTTTTTCCTACAATATCTGCTCTTGGAGTACAATATGCATTGCTTGTTGCAACCAAAGCTTAATGTTTAGCCAGTCAAGCATGTAGGGCAAGATTGTCATCTAGGTTAAATATTTTAAAAAGTCAACTGTAGCACAATACATGACATTACATTGTTTAGTTTATCAACATTAAAGTTGACAGAGTGAAACCTTAATCTTTCCCTAAATTTGACCAAAATGCTTTTGTATCCTAAACCTGACGTGCCCTGCTTTTACACACTCACCATCCACCAGGACCACCTCTGTACGACTTTTGTGTGGAACAAAGCTTCACTTGAAAACATGATGCCAGAGAACATCATTTTTATTGTGCACTCCAGGGAAGTGGTACTGGTGTTGGTTATTAATTTAAGAATGCTGTTTATCTGTTTTTGTAAAAGAAATTCTTCTGTTATCCCAAAACCTATTGGTATTAAGTGTAGGAGACAGGGCTGACATACTATATACTGTACGTGTGCAAAGCTTACAGAGGCATACACACACATAATGCATTGTGGGTGTGTTCTCCTCCAGCACAATCTTACAGTGGGAATTAGATGCTTTTGAATATCTGATGTAGACCAGCAGCGTTCTCTCTCTCTCTCTCTCTCTCTCTCTCTCTCTCTCTCTCTCTCTCTTCTCTCTCTCTCAGTCTGTACAATATTGGGTTAGGGTGGACCTCAGTAGCTTACAGTGTAGATCGATGCAGCTTCTGAGAGTCTAGCTGGGCTTTAATGTGATATTCTGAGTGGACAGCTTTTCTTCAAATGCGCCTCTTAATCACATCACAGATAAATCTCAGCTCTTGGGGTCCTCTGTGCGTGTGTGTGTGTGTGTGTGTGTGTGTGTGTGTGTGTGTGTGTGTGTGTGTGTGTGTGTGTGTGTGTGTGTGTGTGTGTGTGTGTGTGTGGGTGTGTGTGTGTGTGTGTGTTTTCAAGGAGTACCCAATCGCATGTATTATAGGATAATACGCGCTTCCTTGCACGCAGACAGTAGCACATCTGGCCCGCAGTCAAAAAGACGGAGCTTAGCTAGGTTACAGTAAGGGCACCACGCTGTTAATCATTGTGTAGAATAAAACCTTGTATCATCACTATGGTGAGATGCCAAATTTTTTAAAATATCAGCTGGCATAGAGTCACAAGTTACTTAGCAACAAAAAGCAGAAAGTCGACTATGATCCAACTGTGGGTGAGCTGAAGGCAGGAAGAGATTACAGTAGAAACTGGATCAAATTAGTGTACAACAAAACAGAGAATTTGCTTATTTACTGTAGCATTCATATGATGTATAAATGATCAAATAAATTACTTATGCAACAGAAATAATATCTGCTACTAAATACTGTCATACCACACAAACATACTGTTTCTCCCTCTGCCAATTTACATAAAAATAAAATTGGCAAAGGGGAAAAATATGACCCCAAGAATAGCAGCTATGCTATCTACATAATAACACGTATTTTGTTTAGGTTAAATCACTACTTGTGTTGTTGTTTTGCTTTGGTTAAATGACACAGACAGACAAACAAACCACATATGAATTAAGTTTATTTAACATAATGTCGTTTCATCATTCCTCCTGTGATTGATAATGAACTGATGTACACACTATAGTATTTCAAAAGCCAAGATGACCCCAATTAAAGTAGATTTCTCCTCTTTCCTCTTTTTAACAGTCGTCCAGCATATTAAGAGACACAACATTGTCCTGAAGAGAGAGCTGGGAGAGGGAGCCTTCGGAAAAGTCTTCCTGGCTGAGTGTTACAACCTCTCACCTGACCAAGAGAAGATACTGGTGGCTGTCAAGGTAATCTGAAGGCTGAATTGTCTTATTTTCACTTGTTTTTGATGCAAGCTCCTGCGAAACACATCTCCACTGTTTAAATGTTGAAATCCTAGTGATAATGTACATTAAAGTAAAGAAGTCATCCTACGTGTGATTTATTAATTAAGTGTCAGTCACTTAATTGAACTTTTTTTCTGGCTATTATAAACCAGACCAGACATAGAAAGACGGATTGTTATTGTAAAATGAAAAAAAAAAAAACATCTAGTCTGCATTACAAAGAAGATATCTCAATTTATGAGGAGTCTAGTTTCAAAATGAGATATTTTGAAAATCCCTGCTCCTACAGAATGATTGGTGGCACCAAAATAAAGCCCTAATGTCATTACTGAAGGTGAAGTTATTGCTTTCTCTACGGTATTTTGCAATGAGACCTGATACCTGAAATACATTTGAAATATTGAACAGTTTACAGCAGATAATCTTATGTTCTTGAAATGGATACATGGCATTTTGTAATGAAATCCTTCGTATGGCGTCTGTACCGTCTTGAGACTCCACGTTCGCCATTTCCTCACCTCCATTTCCTCTGCTATTGTTACAAAGTCGTTGCTTTCAAGAGTTTCTCTTTAAGCAAAAGGTGGAATTACACTCAAACCGCTGACTTCTGGGGTCAAATTGAACGGTTTCCTCCTGTCACATCTATCCGTCCATCTGTCTCTCCATCAAGGATGCTTTCTCTCCTGGTCTGCGGTGAAACAGGATCCGATTGGTGAAGAACTTCTCATTAACAATACATGACCTGCGAGAAACTCCCCTCTCTTTTCACCCCCACTTCCTCTGTCTTCCCCTCACCTGCAGCACTCTTTCCTCTGCAGTTCTTCATCTCGCTATACTTTCCTCTTCTCAAATCCTCCATCTTCTTTTCTCTTCCCACACCTCCCGTTTCCTTCCAGCTTAGCTCTAAACCGCTTCCCGGCCTGCTGATGTTTGCTGCCAGCTTAGCTTCAGCTCAGTCTGAGCACTCTGTAAAAATATGCACCTGAAAATCCCAGGAAGAAGAGTTCCTGGTTGTAGAACAAGATGCGATGTGTTGCTGACTGCATGTTAAACATTATATAATCAGCACTCAACTCAACTCACTAAAAATCAACTGTATTTCTCAAACTGCCATACGTGTGGTGGCATGTAGACTTTATGATGAATCATTTAATCATTAGAGTCACTTCATTGATTTAACTCTCTCTATTCATCAGTTTTTTTTTCCAATCAGCTAATGCACCACCTGCTCGTAATGCAGTCTTCCTGCTCTTCTCATCCTCGTCTTTTTGTCAACTTGAGTGACTCACGGTTTCTCTCCGCTTGTCTTTTCCACCTCCTCATTGCTGCATCAACAAAGAGAAGATGTGAAGAAAGCTGCTGGAAACATATCTTTCAAATTAATGATGACATTGTCTTCATTTCGCCTTGGTTAGAGGGTCGGTTTACCCAAATGACAAATGAAGGATAATCCTGAATAACTGAGACACTATTTCTGGAATGGGCTCCAATCTTGGACATTTAAAACCAAAGCATGGTGTTTGAGTACATGCTTCTCTTCTTTGTTTAATACACATCAAAACCACAGCTAGATTAGGAATCTATGATTCTACAAAATGTTGTAATAGAAACAAAGGGTCCTGACGTCACCTTCAGAAGTGTATTCCTGGGGTTTACAGTACTGTCCAAAACCAAAACTGTGATTTGGGTGGTGGCAATGTAATCTCACCCAAGACTTTTGTGAACTCAGGACACAAATGAATGAATTAAAGTAATATAAATGCCATATTATAGTAGAAGTAGATATTATAATAGACAGGAAACTGAAATACCACTTATAAAACCAATACTGGCATTTTGATTATCTGATTTGTAATTGATTTTTTTGAATTCCTGAAAGGTCACCTAAAATTTGTAGAACATTTTGATGTAAACACATTCATATATATCAGTATTACTCCGCTAAAGAGACATTGAACCGTTCAACATTATAGAAAGAACATATTTTGAGGTGTAGTCGTTCTTTAAATACCCCCCCCCCATGAGTGCATTGTTCCTCATGTGCGTACTGTACTTATGTTGCACTCTGTCAAGCACGCTACATTACAGAAACATGTTCTCTCCTGTACACCACATTACAATAACCTGCCCTCACTAATAGAGCTTAATGGTCCTGGTTTTAGGGTCGGCTATCAATAAGCCAGTCAGCCATAATACAGAAGCAAGTTTTACTGTTACTGTATATTACTGCATGGTGCGATCGATCAGAGGCACACTTTCACACTTGCAGATACACATAGAAATATACATACACATTTACAGTACAGTACACTCGTGTATACCATCAATCATGAACACCTAGCACTTTCAATAATGTTGCCTTCACACATGTAAATATGAGTCACTACATTCCTGAGCTAGAGGTTGTTGATTGCTTTTTATTTGACCAGGGACCTGAATGTGTGCGCAGACTGGATGACTAACAGTGCAATATTATGGCTTTTAGCCTGGGAATTAATGCAGCATTGAGTTCAGTGACTCAGAGCATCATAGTTCATACGTAGATGTTGCTGGCTCACAGGAGAGTCTGTGTTGTAACTTCCCTGAATTCAACATTAACTTGTTTTTCTCGATATACTGATGAATATTTGTCACAGTGGTTTTTAGCTGATTGAAATCAGTCGTGCACTGGATGTGTTTGCCAGGAAAGACAGTTCTTTTTCTTCTTCCTTTAATCAGACTTTTTTTCATCCCAGATTTCATTTTACCAGAATAAAACCGTTCAGTACATGTACGGTCGACCAGTCAAATGTGGATTCATTATTAGTTACCAAATCAAATTACTGATGCTTTACAGATTATAAATATATATAGATATAAAAACAAAGTTTGGGTTGCCAGGTTGTGGCTGGTGTTTAACCTCCTTCAGTATGACTGCATTGTTATGAAATAAAAGGGATCAACAACAATCAAAGGGGGTTTTCACAACATAGCAGCACAAAAGTTTTTCTTTTTAATGGTTTTTAACTAACATATACAGAATCACTAAATTATTTACAATAATAAAGCCATTATTTACAACTTATAAAGTTGGTGTCAGTGTTTTTATAATCATTATCACACAAATCCTCTGGAGCAGGGGGCCTTGTTACCCTGTTGAAACCCAACAACATATTTCAAGTAACTGAAGGTGAAAGATCTAACTAAGACAGCATGTGAGAACTAATCAGAAGACAGTCAGCCAACCCAGATTTCCCACACATGTCTGATATCACATTTCAAACTGAGATTGGAGCCGTAGGTTTTTATACAGTATCCATGCTGTAATAATCCACCATATAATCATCATGTAGAATCACATTACAGCCTGTAATGTACATGACCAAGCCTCTGTTTCATGATATACGATTGGTTGAACATGGGTGGGTGGAGTTACAGTCTGTCTCATTTTCTGGTACCTCAGCATTCTGGCTTTAAGGTCACGGGTCATTTCCTTCTTCCTGAGCTTTCTTTGTGGCTTCTTGTCCTTTAAACCTATATTTGTAATAGGAGCTTCTATCTGTTAGTACACAGACATATAAACAAACACACGCACACACACACACACACACACACACACACACACACACACACACACACACACACACACACACAAAGTGAATGTATATCCATGTCACATACTGTAAGAAGACAATCAATTATTCATGTAGGACAAGAGGAATTTTCTATATTTTTCTTCTTTTGATGTGAAATGAATAGAGACACTGTATCACTTTCAATTCCTGCAACTCTCTCTCTCTCTCTCTCTCTCTCTCTCTCTCTCTCTCTGTCTTTCACACACACTCTTTTTCTGTCTCTGTCACAGATGCTTGTGTTACACAACCTCCCTGACACATTTCCTGATTCATGGAAAGAAGACAAAGATTAGTTTCAAAAGGAACCAGGGACCATAATGAATGCAAACAATGTTGTACTTTGTAATGGCTTACATTAATATAAAATGTCTCCATTTTTTCCCCCCTGCTCTGCCATTGTATCAGTCCTTGCTCGCTGCCAGTAATTTCACACTGTGTGTGCCGAGTTGCTGTAACTCACTTTTACAAGGCAAGATACTTTTTTTTTAGTGGACATCAGCCAAATAAATTGGAGCAGACTGGGTGCAATGTGAAAATGACTAATTGGCAATCGTGTACGTGGCATAATGTGTAAGTTTTTCATTTGTCAGTTTATTAAAATGTCACTTCTCTCTCTCTCTCTCTCTCTCTCTCTCTCTCTCTCTCTCTCTCTCTCTCTCTCTCTCTCTCGTGTGTGTGTGTGTGTGTGTGTGCAGACACTTAAAGAGGCCAGTGAAAATGCCAGGAAGGATTTCCACCGTGAGGCTGAGCTGCTGACCAACCTTCAACATGAGCACATTGTCACTTTCTATGGAGTCTGCGTGGAGAGTGACCCTCTCATCATGGTGTTTGAGTACATGAAACATGGAGACCTCAACAAGTTCCTCAGGTATGGTTCTTTTCTTTGCTACGTAGAAATCTGATGAAAAAATGTCTCTAAAAGCAGAGGGATCAATGGACAAAGCGGTTTGCACAGTAGCAGCCTCCTCTGCTCTGTTGATACAAGGCTGATAGGTAGCAACACTGCACAGGAAACAACATGACTCCAACAAACAATAACCAAACACCTGTTCCCTCACAGGGCTCACGGTCCAGATGCAGTTCTGATGGCAGAGGGCCAGACCACCAGACCTGTGGAGCTGACCCAATCTCAGATGCTGCACATCGCTCAGCAGATAGCATCTGGCATGGTTTACCTGGCATCACAGCACTTTGTGCACCGCGACCTGGCCACCAGGTTTGTCACTTGCTCTGTTACTACACTCTGTATTTATTTGTGGGGTTTTAATGAGTGTGGCATTATACAGGGAAACGTGTTTAGACCGTTCTACGATTTATGAAATACCCAGTAACTGAAAACACTGCAACACCTGTTAATGTACTGTGTTTCCTTTGGTCGTCCTTCAGAATGGTGATTATTGGTATGTGGTTACACTACGCTCGATAAATGTAGTAATTTGGTCATAGGCAAGCTTGATAAATGTGTAAGTATACAGTGTATATATGGCAAATAGCACCTAAAGGAGGCAAAACACCCATTTGAGTAGCCAGTAGAGAAAACATGAGTAGACAGTCAGCAGATATCTACGATCTGTGATTGAGTGATTTCAACAATGAGTGAATGATTCTGATGTAATGCAACAACAACATAAGAAAAACATATGTAAAACTGGACATATACCGTTCCAGAAATATGAACCATAATAATACATTTTTAAAATGTAACTTTCTTAAATAATTAATTAAGTAAAAGCTTCTCTTTTCTGTAAGTTTATCATATATATATTTTTAGAAATACTTACATTTATTGTATATTTCCAGAATGAGAGAGGCACGCTGTTGCCTTGAAACAATACAATTAAAGCACAGTTTCTTAAATAATAAATGTAATGAGAGAGGGTTTAACACCACACACTGTAACTCAAGCTATGTAAAACATCTTTATTTAAACTCACAACAACATCTTCCTGTTATTGTTCTTTACTTTGTTGTTTTTTGTTGTTTAACAGGAACTGCCTGGTGGGTGAGAACCTGCTGGTAAAGATTGGAGACTTTGGCATGTCAAGAGATGTCTACAGCACTGACTACTACAGGGTAGGTGTATGTGTCGATATCTTTTCTGGCCCTTCTTTTAGCCTCCCTTCTCCCTGCTGCATGGGTCCCTCTCTGCTCCTCCCCTGCATGGGCATGACTGACGGACTCTGGCAGAGTTACAGTCAGAAGCTTGCTGTGGAAGGTCAACTTAACTGAGTGAAGTACTGTTAAATTAAACATACATGTAGGCTAGCTGTGTGTGGCTCACTGTGGTGCCATGCTGTATATAATTAAATCAACTCAAGGGGAGGGATGATAAGTAGCATGCTTTGTTAGGTCGTATCGGGTGCTGCGTGCAAAATAAGAGCTGTTTGTTTGGATAATTACTGCAGCATTTTCTCCCACAGAAAGACAATATACACCAGTTGTTATAAAGGTTTTTTCTATATATATATATAATTTATTCGCAATAATTTTATTAAGCAGGTTCATCGTAGAGTCCGCTGCTCACCAGGGATCTGCCAATCAAATAGCTGCATGACAGGCACCCATACATTTGAATACGCTCCACCGACGAAAACTATTATTTAAAGTTACGAGAATAAAATTAGAAACTCTAAAAAGAAGCCGTATTGATGATAAGTGATGGTTTTTGAATGGCAGGGTAATGACATTCAAGGTTTTTGAAACATTATGCATATATAAAATATTACATATATATCTTTAAACAAAGCTTGTTATATTAGCACACCATTTTAAACAAACTCTAATACATAACATAAGGAAGGGTTATATTTTCATTGACTTATTTTCCAATTAAATATTAAATATGAACCAGTTTCGAGACACAAGTTGAATCTACAGTTTCTTTGTAAAATCTGTAAAAATCTGTTGCTTGAAAATGCTTAATTTGTGACAGTGAAATACACATCCAAAGTCTATACAACCTCTTTTAAAAAATAATTTAAAAAATAATTTAAAAAAAAGGTTTTACCATGAAACACAGCACATAGTCTAATTAGTCCTAAAATAGTCTCAACATATTAATTGTGGTACTTGTGTCGATCAAACTCTATCCCAGAGTATTATAAGATAATATTTTGATCCTGATATAATCCGTATGTACATAATACAGATGGAAGAGGCTCACCAAACATGTATACAGTCCTCCGTACAACAGATATAGTCACACTGCAGGAAGTGCAGCTCTATGGGCTGTAACACACACCTACTGCCCCATTTCAGGGTGGTGTGCAAAGTACTGCTCTTTAAAAAGAAAAAGGAGAGGAAATTAGGAAAAAAGATATGCTAGTTCACATTTTATGTGTGTTTATGAGTGTGTTTGTGTATGTGTGTGTGTTGCAGGGACATTTAGCAGCTTTACTATGAGTGTCAAGATAACTCAGGGTTACAACAGACAGCTGAGACTGTGTATGTGTGTTTTTTTTTGTCCCCTTGTGTACATCAATCTGTCACCTTTCCAAAAGGCCAAAATCGAATAAATCATATTGATTGATTGATAGTGACTGTCCATTTTTCCTGCTCTTTCTCCCGTCCACTGTGACAAACTGACATGAGTGACGGTGACAGAGAACTCAGAGGAGGGAGAAAGAGGGAAGGAGCAACCGGGAAATGACAAGAAAAGTCTCTATATTGGACAAATAATTACCTTAACAGTAACATTTGGAAAGACAACAATGATCTGTAGGCAATTTGATGTATAGTTCAGTAATTGATTGATGCATTTTATTTGTTATGTAAAAGTGTGTCTTTATATTAGTCTGGAAAACAAAAATTAATTTAAAAAAATTATATGAATTAACAGGCAATACATGACAGCAGCAACATTAGAACATTCCAATTTTATTCCCTTTCTTATAATTAGAAAGAGACTTTAACAATAGTAAATATTCCCTTTTGCTTCTTTTTTATTGTTTTGCTTAGTTTCCTCCGATATAGAAAACATTTCATGACCCCAGAGCGAAGCCACAATGTTAAAAAGGTCAAAAAATACAAGATCCACATGGCAACAATCAATCTGTATTCTGAAATTAACTTTTCATTGGTCTTTTTCTGAACACTGTTGAGATTAAATTTGGAATAACTAGTTGTATAAGGCATCAAATTAAAGACAAAAAAAAAGAAAAAGATGAGGGTCTCTTCTCTGTGGCTTTCTTTTGTACTATCTCTGTGTGACGACACACAGCAATCTCCCCCCTCGTCCTCCTCCTCCTCTTCCTCCTCCTTCTTCCTTTCACCCCTCCTCAATAAAGCTAAGCGCTGGGCTGTAGTCATGGCAACGGGCAAAGGCAGTGGCAGCGAGCCTCAGAGTTGTATCCAACGTTTCTCAGGAAGAAAAGTAATCAGAGAACTTCTGTTTAGTATGCTGAGGCAGTACTAGGAAAAGAGAGGGGGAGACGGAGAGAGGGGAAGTGTGGGAGACAGAGGCAGGAGGGTGGCCAAGCGATGAAAGGAGAGAAAGAGCTGGAAAAGAGAGAGATGGAGGGAGAAAAAGGGTGGGAGGCCAGGGAGGGAGGAAACAAGACACAAATAAATATACAAAAGGAGAAAAGGCAGTAATAGAGCGATAAAGGAACATACACATGCTGAGGTGGGAGAGGAGAGGTCTGCAGACAAGGCAGCCTGTGTACAGTGTACAGTCAACAACAAACACACAGTGCAGCGTTAGACAACCACAGAGCAGGATATCAGAGATAGAGAGAGAAAAACAGAAAGAAATGACAGAAAAAAGGATAGAGAGGTAGACAGACGGCAGAGCAGAAGAGAGGTACAGCATGGTGGGAGGTAAAACACAGTGATCCAGCCATGTTTCAGCATCCAGGAGAGACAGATAGGTGTGTATATATGTGTGTGTGTGTGTGTGTGTGTGTGTGTGTGTGTGTGTGTGTGTGTGTGTGTGTGTGTGTGTGAAGGGTTGGTGGAGGAGAGATGGTTGGTGAGGTGGGGGTGTAGAGACCCAGTCATGCTCTTGCGTCAGAGAGGAGCAAAGATGAGTCATAGAGGAATTGGAGCACCCCCACTGCTTGTGTGTGTGTGTGTGTGTGTGTGTGTGTGTGTGTGTGTGTGTGTGTGTGTGTTGAGAACAGAAGCAGAGGCGTACGACTGACGGGGATGTGGTGACGTCATTGAATCCACTGTTACACAAGGAATCTGACAGGCGCTTCAGAAGATAGACAGGATGCCTTAATTCAAACCTTGAACCTTTCTATGCAGCCATGTGTGTGTGTGTGTGTGTGTGTGTAGGTGGGTGGGGCTGGACTTCAGCTGGAGTTGGGGGGGGTTTGGCGCGCAAATGCACATTTATTTATTTTTTTCCCTAAACTGATTTCATGCCCAAATGTGTAGGATAAAAAGAGAATTAAATGTCTGCTTGGGTTTTGAGGATCGAGCCTGTGTTACGCTGCTGACAAAGAAAAAACAACACTGGCAACAAAGCAGAGCTGAACAATCTCTGCAGAGTAATTTGGCTGGTGTGGGTATTTTATTTTTTTTTTACAACCCGTCTCTAGGTCCTGACCAACACAGACAAACAGCATCTTAATGGAGTACCTGGAGAGGCCAGAGTGGAGCGGTTATCTGTGCAGGAGAGAGAGAGTGTGTGTGCATGTGAACAGACAAAACGCCGCTGTCTGTATGAAAACAGACACATCAACATAGAGATAATACTGTCCACACATATAAAAGTCTACTATAGGGAGAATAAATTCTTAAAGCTAAAATTTAATTAAGATTTTTATCATACCTTTATTATTATTAGTAGTAGTATTATGTAAACACAAACCCACATATTAAAATGATATAAAGACACACATAAACCCACCATACCATGCATTTCACCTTCATGCAGTAATAGTGGGAAGAAAAATAAGCAAACAAACTATATCAAATCACATGAATTCATCACGTTTTCATACATTTCACATGTGCTTTTATTAACAAAACTCTCATATCAAGGTATGGTCTCACAAGCCGATATAAAACGGAGATAGAAACGGCTCATTCTAAGATAACAACAACACAACAATTCATATATTCAGGTGATTATACGGTAATGAAAACATACTTATATTGAATTTCTGCCAGTAGAATAGTAGTAGTAGTAAGTAGTAGTTGTCAAAACCTTCTAGTATCAAAGAAAAGGCTGCTCTGCACTAAAAACCTGTCGCTCAGGTGCCGTCCAACCATGTAACTGTGACAGTAAGCTGTATTTTTTCACCAGTGTGTCAGTATTTATCCATAGTATCCAAAACAGTGCCATTATGAAACAGGAAAACATAACATTACCCACTATCACTTGCATTGAACATACCATGAATAAAAAAAGCAACACCATTAGATACAGTGGCATCTATCATACAGTGGTATTCTGACACCAGATCGTTGTTAAAAACAAACGAGGAAGATCAGGGAGTTGAGTGCTTAAATGAATGAAATTAATGGATTAGATAGGGTGTAATGCAGTCCTGGGTCAGGGTTAAACTCTAACTGCTGCAGAATTGTGTCAGTGGTGGTTGCTCCTAGCAACAGAACCCCCAACTGAAACCAACTGCTGCCGGCAGGTACACATTGTAGACCTTTGTGATTGCAGGAAAACGAAATTAACACATTGCAAATAATAACACAATAATGAAAAAATATATATCTATGATAATTTGGGGAGTAAATGAATGATTCTTGTCAATAGTTGCTTGGTCACAGATCTGACACAAGGCTGAATGTAACAATTGCACTTAAACTGCAACTGCTATGGAACTGTGCCAGTAGTGGTTGCTACTAGCAACAGAATGTTCAACTGGAAATACCTGCTGCCGCCAGGCTACTCATCTAGGACATGAAGTCATTCTTCAACACAATGTGAAATCTTCAATAATTGATCATATATACCTCTTTTCTTTGATAATATACATGTATTACCTACTACTACTTGAAATACCAGCTTAATATTTTATACGACGTTTATTAGTGCGTCCATGAGAAATACAGCAGCTACTGTAAGAATTGTGCTTTCAAAATCTTTCATGACACATAAACGGCAACATCACTAAAATAAACAACAGCATGTTGTGTAAACCTATATATCAACCGTTTTTACTGTATCTGAGCCGACCAGCTCACACACACACACACACACACACACACACACACATCGGCATTCTTGGAAAGAGTTTTTGTTTCCATAGAAACACAGAGGGCAATTAAGGTAGGGTTCCTGTGTAACAAAGAAAAGGCGGAGTTAGTCACATAAGCCCCTCCTTCACCCCATCCCATAATGCTTACTTTTTCAACCGATCCAGTTGCCACGGATACCACAGCCTCTAGGAGGTCACGATAGAGATCCCACTGCCCTCCTCTGCTTTATGTTTCCTCTCCTCTCTCTTTTTTGGGGGGGCTTTCCTGGAACAGCAGTGGTCTAGATCAAAATGATGCATATTTATGAGACAGAGGGGGAGGGAGACAGACAGGCGGTGAGGGAAGGTGAGAACGAGTGAGACAGACCGAAGGACAGAGAGAGAGAGAGAGAGAGAGAGAGAGAGAGAGAGAGGGGGGGGGAACAGCGAAGGAGACAAAGACTGACGACGGAGCTACTGACAGCAAAGAGAAAACAGAGAAAGAGCTGATGACAGAGAGAGATGCAACGTCTAATACTTCAGTGAGAATCTTTGAAAGTGTTCGCTCTGTAAACGTGACTTTCTTAATATTTGATGGCCCCAACCCGCCCAATGACAAGAAGATTAAATCTGAGGCTATCCCTTCCTGCTCCTTCATTTGTGTTCATTCCTCTGTTTACTCTTTCAATTCAGCCTCGTTAGAAAAGACTTGCCTGCCCTCCTCTTCCTCCTCCTCCTCCTCCTCCTCCTCCTCCTCCTCCTCACTCACTCTCTCTCTCAAAGCACAGCCCTCACATTCATTAATGAATAAATACTGTCAGAAAATATAGAATAGAATAAACAATGTCCATAATCACTATCGCTATTATTAATTTAATATTAATCGCTATTTATCTAAACCGTACTGCGCCGTCCGCCTTTTCATCTCAACGAGTGTCAAATTTAAGCACCATATAGCGCCCTCGTTATTACTACTATTACTAAAAGTAGAGTCAGTAAAATGTCAGTAAAAATGTGTCAATCTGTTGCTAGGGAACATTTGTGTTGTCAACAGGAAGTTTCTGTAGCATCATCAGCTAAGTTAAGGTTATAATAAGTGTAAAATACCTGATTGTTCTAACCTAGCTGACGTCCCCAGTTATTACTAACTAAGTAGTATTTTGTGTGTCTGGTCCAATACATCAACCATATACCATTATCTTGTTCTACTCTTCAGTCTAAACTGGTCAAACCATATTAGCACGCTAAGCTGACATTAACTTTGTCCGTTAGTTCAGTTATCTACGCAGCAGCTTACACCTGCCAGTTTGTGGGTGTAAAAGTATCCATTAAAGTGTCCATAAGAACTAGTTTCTCTCCACATAGTAAACAATCATACAACTAACCAACCAACCAACTCCAAGTCACTGGAAGGAACTATCTATTATATGGACATTATTTTTGCCTTTTTTGAACAGAGCATTATAATTCTGATATCCAAAGATAGAGGAAAATGTGCATGTTGTAATAAAAATATATTTCCCCCCCCATTGTATTCTGTATTATCATTCCCACTCTTACAATACAGTACTTCATTATTTCCGTGCCAATAAAGCATGTTCTAATTTGACAGCGAGAGAGCGAAAAAATGCAAATAAGAAACAGACAAACCAGCAGCAAGACGCCGCACTACGGGGAGAAAAAGCGAAAGGGTCTGGTTATGAAGAGCAAGAGCTGCAGAGATGGAGGCAGATATGTTTCCCCAGGCGTACCAGTGAACCTGATGGCTATCTATGTGACCGTGCACATTTTATTACTCCATTAAATAACCCACTGACTAACAAAGAAACAGGCCAAGTGTGGGTACCAAGCCATTAATAACAGGCATAAACCTCAGAAAATGGATTGTGCTATCTGTGTGGAGCAATGGAGCGCAGATCAGTTGGTAGATTCATGTTTGTTGGAGAAGTAAGTGGAGAAGAGGGGGGTGGCGCTATAAGGCGAGAACAACATCCGTACACAAGGGTTGGGTTTCATTCACTTTGGGTTAAAAAAGTCAAGCACTGGCATATCTAACATGTTTAAGAAAGCTTAACGTAGTGTTTATCCAAATATAATACTGTAATTGTATATTAATGTGTGCTTGATGACTGAGAGGTTCGCTCACCTTTTGTCACCGGTGAAGCATGGGAGGTTTGTCATGCTCCAACCCGGTAGATTAGCCTGGTCTAAGTGTACAGTCACAGTCTGTGAGCGTCTCAGCAGAAGTGAAGTGTCAGTGTTCATGAACAGTAGAAACTGTGAATGAAAACAACAATCAAACAGGCTCCAAAGGCTCAGTTCAGATTAGAGCTTAATGAAATGACCAAATGTCTCTCAGAGTGCCTGTGAGTTCCTGTGTGAGTTTTCTGCTTTCTGAGGACTTACTACCGTTTGATTCAATCTGCTACAATTTGAGGTCTAATCAAATAATTTTTTTTCATTAATTAAATCTCCCTCACATGGGACCGGAGCAGTGCACATACTGCAATACTTTATATTCTATCAGATATTTATTTATAATGCACGGCTGCTAACATTTAGCTGACTCACACAAACTGGCTCACACATTTTTATAGCATATGTTTGACTGTACTTTTATTTATTTATTTTGATCAGTTGGCTGATCACAATCAATTTATTGTTTATATTTATCCTCAAAGTATGACCAGTGGCCAATTACTTAGTACAAGCTCAAAAGCATTTACATACTGTCTCCCCTCTTTGTTTGAGGAAATGTAAAACAATGCCAACCTTCAGTTCACTCTTCAGAGAGACTTCATTTCTGAATGAACAAATATATTTAATTGATCAATTCAGTTTTATTTGTAGAGCGCCAATTCATAACAGAAGTTATCTCAGTACACTTTTCAAATAGAGCAGGTCTAGACCGTACTCCTTATAAAATTATTTACAGAGACCCAAAAGTACCACCATGAGCAAGCACTTGGCGACAGTGGCAAAGAAAAACTTCCTTTTAAGAGGCAGAAAGAGGGGTTACAGAGAGCGAGAGATGGAGGGAGAGAGAGGGTGTATGGGGTAAAGGGAGAAGGATAGAGACAGAGACAAATGTGCACAACAAATATGTGTCATATGTGCACAATGAAGATGAGAAATGTGAACAGTCTTTGGCTATTTGACCCCATTGCGAAGGTATCGTATTTAAAGGGGTTGGCAAAGCTTTGATTAGTAAAGGAAAGCCCCTGATGGAGCCTAGACACTGCTGGTGGTGGTGATGAAGGAATGGACTTCTGATGAGCTCAACCTGGGCATTGGTTATGATGAACTGGAGGTGAAAGCGGTGGAGGAGGGTCGCAAAGATTTTAAATGACAGCTGAAAGCAGCAGAGAGGAGAACAGATTCAAAGTTTAATGGCAGCAACATGATTGGCTGGAGGTGATTGTGGCTGAGTCTGATTGGATTAACTGAAAGAGTAAACGCCCATAGATGATTAGAAAGGAGAGTGACATAATTGTGAATGAATCAGGCTAAATGGGAATGTTTTCCTGCTTGAACTTTCAGTAAAATTATACACTGATCCGGAGTGATCTGTGCATCAGTCACGAAGATTGTGCAATCTGCCGTACCATACCATCAAACCTCGCTCACTTCAATGATTCAGGCAGCAGTTTTGAGGAGTGAAATATTTGCTGCATGATGTCTCATAATGAAATAGAAAATAATAAAAGATAAAAGAACATAGGTCTGTGAGAAGATTTGATCACACTGAAGATGCTCTGTAAATTTGTCTTACATTCTCTATACACTATACTAACTTTATACTCTCTTCTTCTTCTATGTGTGTGTGTGTGTGTGTGTGTGTGTGTGTGTGTGTGTGTGTGTGTGTGTGTGTGTGTGTGTGTGTTTTATTCAAAGGTCGGAGGTCACACCATGCTGCCAATCCGTTGGATGCCCCCTGAAAGCATCATGTACAGAAAGTTCACCACAGAGAGTGATGTTTGGAGTTTAGGAGTTGTTCTCTGGGAGATCTTCACCTATGGAAAACAACCTTGGTACCAGCTCTCCAACAACGAGGTACAGTGTCAAGTCAAAGTCAAAGTCAGCTTTAATGTCAATTTCTTCACATGCACCAGACATACAAAGGAATCGAGAGGACATTTGTCACTCTCCCACGGTGAAACAGATAAAGTGCACAGGCACAACAGATAAGAAAAGACATTTCCTAATACTAAAAGTAAACATTCAATTTCACAACAGATAACACATTTACTAATGCTAAAAAGATAGACAATAAAATATGAAATATACAATATAGGAGTCTACTATGTATATGTAGGAGTAGCAGCATAGGTTTCTGTATAAGTTAGGTTATGGTAGTGCAAAAAGATTCAGCTTTCTGACAGCCTGGAGGATGTGGCTGATCTATACATTTCATTCCACTTATAAACACACCAGCATACACAAAATCAAACATAAGAGATGTCGTGAACAGGCATCCAACTTGTGAAGGTAATTGATTCATCACAATGTGTAAGCTGAACAAAAAGAATTGAAGACAAAAGGACAAAGCAACTTTATGTAAATGTTACCATGGAGCTTAATAAGTGATGGCAAACAAGATGTTGCAGTCTCGAGATATGAGAAATCAGTCCCTTCAGTTAGAAATAAAACTAAATATTTGATCCGTTATGTTTCTCATAGGTATACATTGTCTGAATCCTTTGGCCTGAGTCATCTCATTATATAAAGCTAATGCAAATCGTTTAGAAACTCATTTTATCGTGTCTTGAATTAATTGTGATGTACAACGCAGAGCTGGGGAGCTTGGAGCAAGCAGATGTGTCTTGTGTTTCGAGTGGAAAAGAACTACTGTTTTCCTATATGTTTTGTCATGGATCACACTTTTTTATTGGTTCAGTTCATTTTTTACACCCAGCATACAGTGACACAGCCACTAAAATGAGGACTTCCACTCATAATTAACATACCTCATTTTATGTTTTCATTTTCATTTCTTTTCATTTTGAATGAGAATTATTGCTATTTTTATGCTTTTATACTGCAACTTTATTGATATTTTATATGTACACTCTTTATACTCTTTACTAGGGCTGCAACCAACTATTACTTTCATTATCAATTGCTCTTAAAACTATTCCGATTTGACTAATTGATGAATTATGGTGAAAAATAAATAAATAAATAGACCAGACTTAAACCAAAGATATTCAAGTTACAAAGATAAATGACTTACTTGATAAATGACTTAAACAATTAATCATTTATCTAGACAGTTTCCATTGAAAAACAATCCTTAGCCTGTTAAACCCACAGAATTTTATTTTACATTCCAGTGGAAACCTGAAAGTTGCCAAATATGGAATAATATGTGTTTTGAGTGTCATTTTTAAAGATTTCCCTTGGTGTAAACATACATCAGATAGCTTCAGTGAGATGGAACAAGCTGATAGAGAATATATGTGATTCTGTCTGACATTGAAGATTGAATGAGATGATTTTAAAAAAAAACAAAAGGGATTAATTTTATTTCAGCCGACTGACTTAATATTTCACAAAAAATCATTGATTATTTATAACTCAAATAATGTTCAGATCCATCAGAAAATCCCTACATTTCATCCACTGTATTAAATGTCTTTTGAGCATTTAAGCGAGGATAAAAAGAAAATGTTCTGTATCAGCAAAATACAACCAAGTAAACAAATAAATAAATAAGTAAACAATTGTCTGATTCTTCTGAATAATTAATAACTCTTACAAATCTCCCCTTTACTACAACTCTGGGTCTTGACCCAGATTCCGGAAAAGAAAACTGTATCGCAGCCCTTCAACCCTTCACCTCAACCTCAACAACCTGATGACCTCCACTCTGGTTACAGCTTTCTAACCATGTCAGCAGCCCCCTTTTCTCCTGACTCACTCTGGTTACATCCAGAATTAACCTTTCCCCCCTTACGCGGTCTTTATTTCCCATTTACATCTATTAAATCTCTCTCCATTCGCAGTTCACTCACCTTCTGACCCAAATCTGATGCTCAGATATCTCTTACACAGGAGATAGCGTTTTGTTCCAAAATGAAATATTCATTATTTATCCGCTCTCACAAACTGATAACAATCACAGAATGAGGGGGAGTAAGTAGGTAACGGCTTGATTAGCAAAATTATGACATTCTTACAAACTATGTTCTTAATAATTCAGGGATATTGAATGATAATCATCAGGTATTATTACATCTTTTGAAATGGATATTTGGCAATTTGGACGCCACAAATGTTTTTTTGGAGCTTAATAGAAGCCATTAATTGATATGCATTCCACGTACACAGCAAGGTGTATTTAATGGTTGAGGAAATTAGAAAAAGCCTAATTATATCACAGTATAGATATAGTCCAAACCGCTGCAAGAGAATGAAATCTGAGGAGCTCTTTTCTGAATATAGTAGTTTGGGTTTCTAAAAGTCTCCTCTCCTTGATCCACAAATCCTAAATCCTTAGGTAGATTTAAAGCTAAAATCTGTATTTTTTTTTAATTAATATTAAAATATAAGTCTTGAAGACTGCCAGAACACTACATTTCCTCGCTGCTATTGATAAATTGGACTGGATTTGTCTTCTCCACTATCATCTAACTATATCATGCCAGTAAATAATTTATTCACTGTGACATTTTCACTGCAGTGAGGTGGGACAACTTCACCAAGCAGATGCTCCATCATCTTCACTGGAGTTTGAACATTTCAGCTTGAATTCTTGTTTGTTTTGTTACAGAGAGAGCCAAGACTACCGCTGATATTCAACTTGATGTCTGTCTTTCTTCCTCTGCAGGTGATAGAGTGTATAACCCAGGGCAGGGTGCTGCAGCGCCCCAGGACCTGTCCTAAAGAAGTATATGACCTGATGCTGGGCTGCTGGCAGAGAGAGCCACACATGAGACTCAACATCAAAGAAATCCACGGTCTGCTCCTCAACCTGGCCAAGGCCTCACCTGTATACCTGGATATACTGGGCTGAACACACGAGGAGGACGGAGAAGAGTTTTGGATGTGTGTGTGTGTGTGTGTGTGTGGGTGGGTGGAGATGGTTACTGTATCTAAGTGTGCATTTGAGGTTGCATGCATGTGTGTGTTTGTGTGTGTGTGTGTGTGTGTGTGTGGGTGGATATGGTGACAACTGTACAGGATGTGAAGCTATTATCAAACTCTTAAAGGCAATCAAAAAATTCCTCAACCCATCCCCAATCGCCTCTTTCCTTCCTTCCTTCCTTCCTTCCTTCCTTCCTTCCTGCCAATTTCCTCTCCTTTGTGCATCTCTGCTCCTTCCCTCCTTCTTCCTTACCGGAGAGACATTTACAAAGAGTAATTTAACTTTGGAGGAAAAAAACGCTTCTCACTTCTTTTCAAATGCTTTAAACTGACTGGGGCTAAAATGATGAAACCTGATTAACAGGACTTTAAATTTAGTGACTCTCCCCTCGCTGCCCGTCGGACAACAGGACTCACTTAAACAGTCGGGAAATTTCAAGGAGGCGCAGCGCGGGGGGAGGATTTCCGGAAGCTTCAATCCTTTTCGTGTAAATATGAGACTGTATGATGGTGAGATGTTTCAGAGGAAATGGCTCTGTGCGATGTCGAGCCATAAAGACACTGTGTTTCCCCCCTCTCGCCCTGTCCGTTTGTCTGTCCGTCTGTCTTTCTGTCTGAGTGTTAATGTCAGCATTCATCCAACAGGCCTGTGGAAAAGACTACACAGGTCATGATTAACACACTGGTACACATACGGTAGATTGACTGTAACAGAAAATGGAGGAAAAGTAAACACAATCTGGTTTTCTGCCTGTCAGATGGCAAAAGATTATTTCTGGTTGGCTAATTTTGCTGAAACAAAAAAAACAAAAACATAAACAATACAGTGCCTGCTGAAGCTGAACTGAACTGCTGTGGTGAACAAATAATTCAGGAAGACGGCTGAGGTATTCTACTATACTGTAATTGTGAATGCCAAATACTAGAAATGTAAAAAAGCTTGATCTATCTGGCACTTACGTACAATATCTCATCATGCAACAGACTGATATACACTATTATAAGGATATATGCACTCATATCTGCATACTGCATTTTACCACTGCTTTCTGTTACATATTTACTTTGCTTAGGCCTGGACTGCACTTATATACAGCAACATCGTAATATGATGACTACAAAGTGACAGATGCTTCACTCGTGATGTCAAGCGCTCGTGTCGGAGGTCAATTGATTAATTTGTCCGCAGCTGTCCGACAATCGAGAGGTCTTGGTGTTGAGGGGGGAGGGAGGGCGTAAAGGTTGCTAAGGGAGGCTGGGCTTTGAGTGGTCAAATCACGGTCAGATGTGTGGGCGGTGGCGCTGTAGAAGGTGTGGTTCATTTGGTCAACCCATATTAAATCATCGAGGCTCTCAGCACTCAGACATCCTTGAAAACCACATCTGTGCTAGAGGGGACGACAACACACATACACACACACATACTGTATACCTTATCCCGTCATCCCACAATCTCTACACACACACACAGACACACAGACACGCACACACTGAAAGACACTCAAAACGGGCCGAAGGAAATTGAATTGTGCATGTTTTATTATTTGAGCGGTGCAGTGCTTTAGCCAGGCCCCGTCCACTGTAATGGTGTAATGTATATTTCATTACAGCCTAATGGGCTCCATTAGCACAGTCTCCTCACAGACATTCAAGACTTATTGTTTTATGGCTGAGAAGGAAAGATGGAGGGATGGAGAGGTGAAGGAGAAGAAAACAGAGAGAGGGGCCTGCAATGAGGAGCAGTGGAGAGGAGAAATAAGAGAAGAGGTAATAATGCATATTGGGAAGAAATGGAGAGGGAAGGGAGAGAGTTCAGAATGGAAGCAATGGGGTAGAAAGGAGGAGATGATGGGAGTGAAAAGGTACGAATGGGTCATGTAGAGACAGATGAAGGAGAAAGAGAAGATAGCGGAGTGAAAAAAAGGGGGGGAAAGAGAGGAGGTGTGAATGTCCTCAGGGAGCAAGTGAGAGCGAGCATCCATCATTACTGCGGCCTGCAGATGTTGTATAAGCCACAACTCCAAACTTCATGCTCCCATCACATTCCTACAGCTGGCCTCAACCACACACCCCACATTCATTTTACTGGCAATCCACCGACAGCTTACACTGAGAATAAACTCAATAATGTACCACACATCCACATTATTGAGAACCACTTCACTCACTTACAGTACAGCTCACATATCTGCTCAAAAGGCTTACAGACACACTGTATATACATCAGCTCACATGCATGCAAGGAAACACATTTAATGTTTATTTTGGCATTTACTGGAGCAGATTTTACTCTTTACAGACATATTAAAAAGTCATAATCACTGCAGTTTCACTAACTCATTTTAATTAGATGTAAAACATCAATCTGGAAATATAAGTCTTATTTGTTTATTAACAACAGCACTTGATGGTATTGATGTTTGTGAACTTGAAAATGTTGATTTTATTGATTTATAGTATTATTATTTATAAATTAAGAAGCATTTTGTACATTTCTTTCTATATCTAAGGTTGCCTTTTGCAACAACAAACTGAAATTGATGACTCTGGTTTAATTGATTATGTTTTAGCAAATGTGTAAAGATAGTCTTAAGCGTTTATGTATTTTTATGTCAGGCTCCCTCTTAACAGCTACCTAGCCTGTACTCATGTACAGTGTACTCTACAACAGGGATGGATATTTCACCAGTCTGCCACATTTGTAGATTTAGTTTGACATATTGCAAAATTATTTTCACCTGTCAGAGCATGAATGCAAGGGGTAATGGCTGAAGCACTGACAAGGCAGGCTAACAAGGTCCTCAAAAATCCATCCCTGCTGTATAGACAAGTAGAGTTTGCACTGAGTGAGCACACTCAAAACTTGCCACACAATAACTCTGCGATAATAGGGGGCAGGGTGTGTGAGGGCCTGTGTGTCAGAAAAAATGGTGAGAAACAAACACAGAGCATATGAATGCGTCCGATGTCAAAAGAGCAGAATAGGTCAAAAGCGACATCCCAGCTGGCTGCACTGTGTGTGTACGTACCTGCTGTGTTTCCTTTTCTTTCTTTTTTTTTAATAATTAATTGTGTCAAGTTGGACAGCGGTGATGTTTTGACAGATAGAAAGAGGCTGTGGTGTGTAATGATGAAGACTTCAGCACAACGCAGGAGTGTTCTGTGAAACTTTAACTCTGGCTGAAGATCGTCTGTCGTTGCATCGACGCCTCAGATCAAAGATATTAGTCAAACAAAGGAGAAAAGAGGAGGAAAAACAACTGCTGTATGAATGGACACCTCAGAAAAGGAGGGACTGACAATCACAGACTTCTCTCTTTCTCTCTCTTCTTCAAGTGACCTACTGTAAAATAGACTATTCAACCAACTTTCCTCTTCTATGCTGCCTATACTGTACGTGATAGTCTTAAACTTTGGTCTCTAAAAGTGCTACTTTTTCTTTTTTTTTGTAAAATGAAATAACAGCGAGAGGAATGAACAAAAATACATATGTACAAATGTGAATAAGCTGCTGAAAGAAATAAGCGTCACAAACTGCTGTGTCCGAGACTGTGTCAGTGTCTAGATTGTACTATTTTCTTCTTTTGTCTTAGAAGTGGAGGGCAGAGAAATTGGTAGCTACATTGGACTCACAAATACACAAAATGACATACAGCATCCGCCGGGATGCAGAGCAGTGTTTGCTCATTCTCCCGGTGGTGTGTGTCTGTGTGTGTGTGTGTGTGTGTGTGTGTGTGTGTGTGTGTGTGTGTGTGTGTGTGTGTGGGAGAAGGCTGATTGATGCCGGAGTGAGTCAGGAGGGATTCAGACTCTAGCCAAATCCTAGTTCAAATGCAATGAGATTCAACAGAGGAATCAGGAATTGATTTGTTGTCGCTGTTCACCAATCCATGATAAATGACTTTACCCAGTCGTGTTGGACTGAGGTTGGTATTATGGCAGCTAAGATTTATGGAATCACTCAATTGCTTTATTTATGTCTCCAAAATCAGCCTTCTTCTTGACACAACTTACTAAAGCCTGGGTTTCACAGAAGTGTACAAGCAATATTAATGGATATTTTCTTTTGCCTATCGCCTCTCTATAATATAAATACCAGGCTGAGTTTGGGCTAAACCATGTGACTCAGTGAGCCGAAGCATATTCCACATACAGATACACATCACGACTTTGAGTGTGTTACGATCCATATCACATTTAATCCCCTCTCTCTCACAACCCCTCACATCTCAGTCTAAGCTAATAGAGCTGAAATATCATAAAGGTCATCTTTAAGATTACCTTTGTGCTTGGATGCTTCTGGAGCCCATACACCCCGAAGAATGTAATACCACAAAAACTGCTTCTCTGAGAAAAAAAAAAGAAAAAATGAAACTGTGATTTGCTATATGCAGTATTTCTGTTTTTCAGTATGAGTTTCTTTGGGTTCTGTGCTGTTTGTCTCTGTGTATAGAGGGTTTCGCAGCTGCCATCGTGGTAGAAAAAAAGAAGGATTTTGGATGTTTTGTGGATGTTTGGATTGTGAAAGGCTTAAAAATAGGAGCAGAGGACAAAACGCTGTACGATTTCTGTATGGAAGAGATGTTAAAATGTTATTTGTATGCCTAAAAATGCTCTTCAGTATGTAAGAAACATCTGTATTGCGAAGCACACAAGGTAATTAAAAGCTGGAAATGCTCTGATTGATGCAGCTAATGTCTGTCTTTGCAAGCAGGTTGTTATCCGGTAAAGCAAAAGTGCTCCACTGGTGCACACACACACACACAGAAACATACACCAGAAGGAACTTGTACAGTCATACAGTTGCGTGGTGAAAACGATCATAGTGAGTCATGATGGTAATGATGATATGATTTCTCTCTGAACGTGGACCAGTCTGTCGTGATACAATGTAATTAATAAAAAGTGTTATGTCACATCAAAGCTCCTGCAAGTGAATGTACTGAAAAGTTAAGTCTGTGTGTGAGTGTGTGTCTGTGTTAGAGAGGGAGAGAGATGCACCCAGCAACAGAGGGGGGAATGAAAAAGAAAGCAAGGGGCTTTATAGGAAAAATAAGAAGTACTCAGGCATGCTCAGAGTGGTGTGTGAGAGAAACAGAAAAATATGCTAAATTGAATTCAGTGATAGAGCTGGAGTGGTGCTACATCCCTCCCATTAATCCCAATATAAATCCAGTGTCTCTTATAGAAAAAAAAAACACTAGCTTGGTTTGCAGATTAGGAGAAAGCTGAGGGCTTTTGCGGCAAATTGTACAAGCAAATTGGACAGGAGAGTACGTCTAAATCCCTGATGCAATTAAGCAACAGCTGAGTTAATATGTTCTTTTACACAGAGCTCTGTCTACAATTTATCTTTTAATAAAAATGTCATTGGAAAGGAAATGAGAAATGCACAAGGCGGCACAAAATTCACCTTGGTGTGAGAGTGTGTGTGTTTGGGTGGGTGGGATTGTGGAGGAAGGAAAAGTACCTAGACTCAGCATACTGTACGTGTGTGTGTGTGTGTGTGTGTGTGTGTGTGTGTGTGTGTGTGTGTGTGTGTGTGTGTTTGTTTGTTTGTATGTGTATGAGTGTTAAGAAAGCGAGTGGTAGTAGTGCTTTCCTTAGTGTACAGTGGAGAATTCCTGTACTCAGCACTTCGACCTCATAAATAACACTTTTAATCAACGGACACACACACATACACACACACACCCACACACACACACACACACACACACACACACACACAAGTTGTAAGGATGAGGGAGGCTCTAAAAGCTGATCTACTGTATGTCCTGGTAAGACAAACACAGACAACACAAGAACTGCTGCCACTCTCTTAAGACTAAAGAGCATCCCGGTGGTTCAGTTGCAGAAATTGTCCATGTGACCAAAATTTTGAGTTATTTTAATCCAGCTAAACGTTTTTGTCACAGCACCTCCCCTTCTTTCTGCCTTAGGACAGTGTTACTACACATTTGATCTCAATTAATACATGCTTAACCTCAATAACTGTGGTCTTCTTGAGGAAAAAGGTACTGTAGGCAAGACCAGAGCACTCTACAAGAGTTAAAGTAATTTCCCTCAACAATTTTAATTAATTAGCTTTAAGTAAGTATTTAAGCTATACTAATTTGCTTCTTGGCAGATTGTTTTGGCAGCCTGTAAATGCAGAGGTTTGGGATTCAGGGGGCCTGACCTGGAGTGTAAATACGGCTAGATCATTAAAGATCCCCTCCAGACATGTTTTCAGACATATAAAAATGTGTCTGATATGACCTTTTCATACCCATGAATATGCAGAAATGTATAATTTCAAAAGTTTTCTGGGCACAAGATGTCTTCTACTTTACTGAAAGTCGATACTCAGTTTTAAAGTTTCCACATCACACATGCAGAGGCAGATCTAGAGATACATATGCAATCGCATATATTTATATTTGACTGGAAAACCCCCCAAAGGAAGCTATTTGAAATCAAAAACATTACATAATTGTAGAATATTAGTAAAGCATTCAATATATTTATCTAAAGGTGGCAGTAGAAAGCAGACATTTAATTTCCAAATCCTGTTGTCCCCATTAAACTTATTATTAAAAAAAAGTTTTAATTATTTGTTAAATTTGACAGCATTTGACTACAAACTAGGGTGGCCAAGCAAGCTTGTGAAAATTGTATATTGGACCAAGATTAGCTTTCAAACCAGTTGTGATGCTTCATACTTCCATGTCTTAAACAGAAACTTTAGGTGATCATAGAGAAAGTTCAGGTAGATTAATTAAAAATAGAAAAAAAGCTTATTTGTAAAACACTTAATAAATTAGGGGTCAACATGTAAATTATAAGAGTAAAATAAAGACAAGTTGTTGGTGTACTCCTTCAAAACCTCCTTATAGAAGAGAAAGAGACCTTGCAAAGGGCTGCTCTGACAGGGATCCCACCTTCAGGATAGTCAGGCATGAGCAAAGAGTAAACATTGATAACAAAATTGAACATATACAAAAAAGACAGAATAAACACAATAACAGTGCTCTGCTGAACGTCATCAACGCCAGCAGAGTCAACATTATCGCCAAACAAGGTCATGACAAGGCGCGACAGCTGGTGCAGAGACATTTATGAAAGGCCAGGAAGGGAGGAAAAGTCACTGACCACAACGGATGCTGATGCTCATGATAAAGTTGACCACAAATAATATTTAGTTGTGATCATGTGAGTTATTTAGTACAGACAGTTAAATGCCGGTAATGGTGTGGTAATCCTTAAGGCCAATAGGTGATAAACAGCAATGACTTGCAACAAAATGGAACCAGTGGCAATCAAGGTATTGACCATGAAATATAAGAAATGATCAGGAGAAAACGCACGGTTTTATGACCTTCCCGTGAAGTGTTTTTGTATTCTTTGAGCAGAAAAGCTTCTACTCCCTGAAAATCTTACCTGAAAAACCTTCAAGATAGAGTTCAAAGCCTAACAAAGCCTCTCAGATGAGTGGTGAAACATCCAAAAAGGTGATATGTCACCTGACCTGAGTGACTGAAACCCTGCAAAGACAATATCTCAGCACCTTTTGACATTTTCGCTCCATGGAAATAATGGCCGCCAAGCCAGGGCTCAGCGTATCTATCAAGTGCACTGTACATCAAAGCCTCAGCAATGCCGTTACTAACTATATCCTGCCCGTGTCTTAATACTATACTATTAGCAGGCGGCCTCATCCCAAAACATCTAAAAGCAGCGGGGAAGAGCAACTGTTGCTCGGAAGAAATGTGTCATTACTACAGAAACACAGGCTTGGAAAGAAAACATACAACTGCACAAGAGTTCAGTGGAGACAAAGACGAGGCGAGCCAAAGCAGTCTCACAATGACGTGGACCAATTAGAGATTTTTTAGGGAATGACAGGCGGTCATTAGTGGTTAATCCCTCACTGCTGCACCTGTGTGGTGACATCATCGCCACCACAGGGAGGAGTGTAAAGTATGTGATTGATGATGGTTCTTCCCTGCTGCAAATAGCAATATAAAGCATTAATGAATATGTTTTTGTTCCATCTGAATATTGTAATTTAGTTTTATCCCTATGCAGCTGAACACGACTGGTTACCCTTTTGTGTGCTCAGAAGAAGGAGAAGAGGTAAGATGTATTTCTGCAACCCTCACGTTTATGTACCGCTGAACAAGAGAGACGTAATGACACCAATTTGCATTTTCTGTCAACATTAGGAAGAAACACTTGTAATGAACGTATACCAGAAAATGTTGACTGACAATGTTTTTTACGGTTATGTTTAGACATTTGAGGCACTTGGTTGATGTGAGGTAAAGATTAGGTTAAATGGTGCGTTCCCATATGCACAGTTTAGTTATGCGCAGAAAAAAAGGTCAATATAGAGCACAAATTATATTATTCTTGACTGAGGTGGAAAAATTGGTGTATAGATAAAAACAAATGAAAAATCCACTATAGCCTCCACTGCAGACAGTATCTTTGCTCAAACTAATACATGAGTCAAATATTAACAAACATATCTCATATAATCTCACAATTTGACTATCATTTTTTAAATACACCATCTTGCTGTGTCTTCTTCTTCTGGTGGTTTAACAGCACCCGGCTGGAGAATTAGAGCCACAAACTGTTTATCTTGATGAACCAACTCCTAATATTTGCATAGCAGCATTAGATAGAAACACTGACTAATTCACATTTTCTTATGCAGATTTGTTTAGAAACTCAGATACATATAACCCTACATTTGGATGTATACAACTCTGACTTATGTAACCGTTACAAAAAGTGGTAATTATAAGATGACACATCCCTATTTCCCAAAATGAATTTCCCTTTATTTGTGTTTTTGTTGCCTAAACCACATGCAGGACTCTGGTTTCCATTGACTGTGAAAGTGTTTGTACGGCCATTATCCACCCAGATCAACTCCCTACAACCTGGTAGAACAAAAACCTGGAGTTTCCTTCACTTGAAAAAAAACTGCCACAGAACATATTGCTGACAGAAACCAGTTCCTGCAAAACATTTTGAGTAAATTTACGTGATTTTGAGGGAACAGCTTTGATTTCTGTTCCCCTGCCAGTCTGCCGGGGCCATAATAGGAATTTTCCTTTTCACAGATTTTCTGTTGGATTGTTTAATTATTTCAGGTAAACGCATGAGGTGGTCGGAAAATGACTAGAAGTAATGGTTCACTTAGAACAAAAACAAAAAGGATTATAGACACAAATACAAGGGTGGCTGAACAAATAAAGATATGATTACAATTCACACCTCTGCTGATCCCTCGCGATAAATGTGCTCTATATACACAAGAACGGTCTCTCCCAGAGGACGCCATCAACATGGAAAACACTGAAAAACAGGACAACCTCATGAACGAGAGCCATTCCTCATCTTACGTCTCCTCCTGCTCCTGCAAAGGTTTCCTGTTCCACCGAAACGGAACAGCCAGTGGCTTTATCAAGATTTATGAGCTAAATCATCATTGGAAATATAAGACACTTGTTGGGGCACAAGGGGAGATGGGAGAGGAGGGGGGAGCAGGCGGAGAGAGAGAAAGCAACGCTGCCAGCTGGGGAAGATGAGGAAAAGGGAGAAACAGGAGACAGAGTGAAAAAGAAAGAGATGAAGAGAGAAAGACAAACAAAGGGAGATAGGAGGATTCTGGTAAGAACAGATGTCTAGACTTGATCCAAAAAAAAAAAACATCTTTGGTACTATCTTTTATGCTCCTGCTGTTTTTCTCTCTAAATGCGCTGACATCCCATTTGAAAGCTGTTATCAAGTAAAACACTTGAAAAACAAGCAGAAGTGCTGCTGAGATAAAGGGCTGAATAGACTGGAGACAAATGGAAAATGAGGTGAATCTCAAAGTCCATCAGCCACAGCTGTTACATTACACGACCCCTCCTGATGATGCACTT